CACAAGCCCTAGAACCCGAAACTGTTACAATGACAAAAGGAAAGACAATAAAATGTGGGCTATTTCGAAGTCGCAAATGCGAGATAAAAAGTCACAATCCTGAGATTTTAAGTCACAATTGCGAAATATGAAGTGTTTTTTTTTTTTTTTAGTCCCTGGCAGAAACAGGCTTCCGTACAGTGATGCAGTGATTATCATTGCTGCCTTGCAGCTTTGGGGTCCTGGGATGCTTTATGAATGGAGTAAACATAGACAGAACATGCAAACATGGGTTTCCAGGTGTTTGGGTTCCTCCATAGTCCACAGATTTACTGGTAGGTTAATTGCCCCTTGTGTGAGTGTGTGTATCTATGTGATAGACTATCCTCCCATCTGGGGTGTGTCCCTGGTTGGTGCATTTTGAACAGAACAGAACATTGGGAATGAAAGCAGAAATTTATACAATATGTTTTATTACTAGATTCTTAAACTGAAGGGTGCTGAATGAAATAGCCAGAATGGTGGAGCACTCGGATGATGTACAGTATGTCTGTGCCCTATATCCCTCTGAATTTATTGCACAGCAGAAGTGACTCAATAAAAGTTTGCCTTCTAATTGAGGACACGAAAGTGTAAATTGCTTACTTGCTTATTTCTTATTTTGAAAACTTTGGTAAGTGGTATCCTAAGCATTTAGACCAGTGTTATATACACTGTAGATTTTCTGTTCTACTAAGTGAGAAAGGGAAGAGGAGAGGGTGACAAAGTGTCTTGCTTAAATTATCCAGATGAAAGCAATGCTCTCATCAATTTCAATTTTTAGTTTCATGCTGTTCCTCTTCAATGCTGTACCCTTTTAAAGTATAATATGCACCTCTGACATTGGTGTTTATAGTAGCTGCAACAAGTCCAATGTCTAAAATGGAAATGAACATGTGCACTTCTGTATATATTGTCTGTACTTAAATGGGTATGCTGCCAAGTTGAAACAGATTGTTTAGCTTTGTTTCTTAGTTCACATGGACTTAGTATTAGTTCAGTCTAATTCCTTAAAAACAGACATAATGCCAAGATCTGTACTTTTGTTAATCTGGTGTGAACGTTTCTGAAAATTGAAATCAGACTGCCAACTAACTTACTTTCTACACTTAACTGATACAATTTCAACTAATCATTGGTCAGAATATCTCTAAGTAGATACTGTACGTGCTGTGTGTTTACCTGACAATTAAACATTGTAGCTGACGATGCCCTCTTCCAATTTGTCTGAAATTGTAAATTGCAGGACAAAAGCCTGAGATTCCATCCAGTGTTTAGATTGTGTTGATATAATACTGTTATTGTGATAATCTTTTGGAATAATGGGGAACAGTAATTCTGATGCATCTTTAAAATAGCTGGTTTCATTGAAGAAGCCTGCGATTGAAACTTCCCTGTAACAAAATAACTTTTGCGACCGACTCTCTTGCAAACATTTTCTATTCCTGTTATTAACAGTCATACTAGTACATATTAGTGCTCGAGTGAACCTGTTTTATGATGTTTGGGTGTGCGCTCAAGACCTTTATGTTCATTCAGATATTTTCTGGTTTGCAGAATGCAATAAGAACAGCCATGGCTGTTCCTTCTCAAACTGTCAGCTGTGTGATGGGTTTAGGGGTATTTGTTGTAATATCGAAAGTCTCAAATACTGTGGTCTGCTCTTTCTTCCTCATGGGCACCAATGCAAAGTACTTCGGGAGGTTTATGAAGTATGTCTGTGCAACCAGCACTTTGCATTTCTGTATCGGGAAAACAAACAATTGCAGAAATTACACTTGACAGTCTGTAAAATTGTGATTTTTTTCATGATTATTATGGAAATAAATGATTCAAATTACTCATTATTCCAAGATGTGAAAGGTTTTGACAGCTTTACTGTATGTCGCAAAATAGTTGTCAGAATTACATTTTGGTGCTCTCGTAAGAAGGTTACAGTTTCTGCCGGATGATGATGTGATTTAACACAGATGAACGCAACATCGACCACTGCCAGAATTGTGCTTTTTTGCTTTCAATAAAGATTCTGTCTGGAGCAGACATGGAAAAGCAGTACTTGCTCTTCAGGCTGTGGCAGTTTAAGAAAGGTATTGGTTTCTTAAAACCTCAGGTGCCTCAGTGTCTGAAACTGGGTTGCAAAATGCGTGCAGAATTGTTTCAGGAAGTAGCTACTGTTATTATTTATCCATGTTCATTCTTCCTTCAGGTCAAACATTGTATCATATGAATTCTGTAGTGGAACACTTATTTACTTTTGATGATTAATATCATGCCACATCATTGCTAAAGGGTGATACTTGTTGAAAATGAGTTTTTTGTTCTTAAACATTTTCAAATATAATACTTCTCTTACCCTGTTACTCCTTGGAAATCATTAAATATGCATAGAAAAAAACATATTTGAATAATACATATAAAATTCATTATTCTTTATTTGGAGGAAGATCAGTATTTGCACAATATTTAGGAAAAGTATGGGATAATGTACAGTCTTCTTAGGAAAGCTAATAATAAACGGATGTCAGAAAATGCTTTCTCATTTCCAAGAAGATAATTCAGCAATTCATACAAGAATGAATATTAAAATAACTTACTTTGGAAAACTGTATGCTGTTACGAAATCCCAGCTAGCTTAGTTGGGAGTTAATTGGCCAACAATGTTTGTGTAAGACTGCCTTGCATTACAGATGACATAGTGCCAAGCAGTTGCTGATCTAGTATGGACATAAATTGCATTGCTGTAGATTTTATTTCACAAAAATTATATCAACTAAGTTTGAAGCTAATGGTATTTACATAGGAACAATTTGTGGTACAGGAGACGCATTGATAATGGAAAAAACAGTTGTCAGGTGTCAATTCTGGTGTTCTCCGGAATCCTGTTCTGTCATATTGTAATCCCATTGTCTATTCCATATCTGCCAGGTTTGGAGTCGAAGCACTTTTTGAGGTAAAAAAAGGAATTGTACAGAGCACACAATATGAAGTGGATGATTACCTGTCATGGGTGTAAAAAAAGCTTGTTGCAACATACAATATATGGTGCAACTCTGATGCAGGTTTTAGTGTGATTAACGCTGTCAAATTTAAGCCAATCAGTGCACTACTTCCCTTAGACAATGGAAGCTTACATTTTCAAAGAATTGACAAATGTCTTGTTGACTTTTGAGATTTATGCAGGAACCCTGTTTTGAGGGACTGACTACCATTGTGTTACCCCAGGAACTCAGGTTTACTCACAAATGTGATGGCTACTCTGTCTAATTATGATAAAAAAAATAGTTAGAACACAAGCTGTTTCAAAACTGGGAGGGGAGAGGGGCAATTCTTACAGTTATTATTGGCCCGAATACTTATAAGCCTGAAAAATATATGCTTACAATCTTCCATTGACTTCCCTTAATTGGAAATCTAAAAAATGCCTTATGATATGGGCCTCCTCTACATGGAAGCATAAATATAAATAAATTATTTTTTCTGTGTTCTGTATGTTGTAGAACTTTTAGTTTTGTTACAATATGATGGACTTATTGTAGACTCAAAACCCTCTTCTTCAGAAAAGCCTTTAGTTAACTGGTTCCACTCTTCACCCCTCTGCTTTTCCTAGTTCCACCATCCACGGTCTCCTCTATATATATTGTAATTGTGTTTTATCTTGTGTGTTCTTCTTATTTATTGTTGTTGTAATCCTGTAAAGCGCTTTGAGAAGCCACCTTTAAAGGTGCTATATAAAATTTAGTTTATTATTATTATTATTATTATTATTATTATTATTATTATTATTATTACTTGTGGTATAGAACCTACTGCTTTAATGTCATGGCGGTAGTTATTTTAATGTCATAGCGGTAGAAATGTACATGTAAGCACAAAGTACTGTATAGTGCAGATAGGATTTCTGTAGGAAAAAACAGATGCGTTACCATGGGGATTTCCAAAGCTCTGTTCTCTGTTAATTTGAACATCTGATGGGAGGATTTGTAATTGAATGATGGCATTATTGTAACTTTTTAATGATCTCATCACTACACCTCAATAATTTTATACCTACTGTAAATGTATATATTTTTTGTGACAAAACTACATTCAAATGTTAAATCGCTAAGTGAGCTAGGTAATGTCCAACAATGTGTGCTAATGGAATCTGCTGTAACAGACAATGAAATAGTCTGTGTATGTATTGTACCAGGACTTTCATAAATGTTCTCTGAATTTTTCCATCTGTATTGAGAATACCTGTCAAAATGAGAAGTGTGGAAGAAGTGCAGCGCTCTTCAGATATTCTCATTGCTAGTCTCAACAAGACTTTCAGCTATGCAAGACTGTTTATTGAGCTTAATTAAGCTTGTGAATACAACATCCAGTAGAAGCAGTATCAAAGAATGTGTGAAAATTCACTTATGGCTGTATCCTTGTAGATTTAAACACGCTCACAGATGCATGAGTTTAAGTTTAAGTAAATATCCCTAAATTCCATTATCATGCCAAATGACCATTTAGACAATTATACAACCACAAGGATTCCAACCCCATATTTAGATTGTCTGGCTTTGCACCTCTTGAATAAACACTGGATACAACAATTTTGACTTATTGTTCTTGAAGAACAATCAGTCTTGACTATAGTTCTGATCAGTTGTAACCTGCAATAAACACAACACATTGGGAACCTAAAAGCATAGAGACCTTGCAATAAAGGTGTTTAAGCCAGCAGAACTCTTTTTTTTTTGTACAAAAGGATATTCATATCCATGTCTTTTTCAACATGTATCTGTTTTGAATAGGGATGTCTATAAATAGCTCCACAAAATAGAGATTCCACACTTGAAAGATAAATCCGTCCTATTTCCAAATGTCTTGCTATTCCTTAAAAATGAAAAAAGAGTAGATCCAAAACAGGAAATGACTTTGCACCAGCTTGTAATCTTTTAACTAAACAGACATTTCCTGTTCTACTTGTTTTTTTTCTGTCATATCATGCCTCCTTGCTGATCTCCTTCTGTGAGATTTACAATGTGGGTTCTGTATCATGCATCTGTCTGTGTTGCTGTGCAAGAGCTCCATATCTGGCATATGCCAGATGAAGCTTTTGAGGTACTCTTCATATTATCTTGTATTTGCGGGGTTTTTTTTTCAGGAATGTGCACTTAAAAAAAAAAAGTTTTTTTTTCTGTTTTCTGTGTGGTGTATCAGCCTTGTTCCCTCCCCATTGCCTAACAGGTGAACATTGGTCAGCGGTAAAGTTTAGATAACGGCAGTCACGATGGAAGACTCTGTAGCAGACGGCAATTTACATCCCTGGAAAGTTGCCACAATGAAGAGGAAGGCCTGGGCAATGAGCCGAGCCTCCTGGCAGGACTCGGAGTCAGTAGATGTTTCTGCAGAGGTAGAGCAGTCCCCGGAGCCCATGGAAGAAAAACTTCCTCTTGCAGAAGAGCCAGGTACACACAAGTTTGTCGTTGTTTTTTTTTTTGGTTATTGGCTGTCTTGTTTTGTAGAGGGGAGTTTTGTTTCACAAGCAGATGCAGTGATGTAAATCTTAGGTAATACCACCGCTATGCAGGATATTAAAGCAACAGATAGATGTTTTAAATTGCATGTTATTTTCAAATGAGGAAATGCCATAAATACTAGTTTGTGACTGTGACTACTTTGTCTGGAGAAAAGCTGCAAGACTGACCTAGCTCTGTGCGTGCAGCTTATCCGAGATGTGCTTAAGCTGAGTCATTTAAATGTAACTTGTTGTGACACATCATTGACGTTCTCATACCAGTGAGTTATCTGCTTATTTGTTTTGTTTGTTCTTCAAACAACTGTCATTTTTTTTCTGAAATATTGTCTTCTTCTTCAGGGAGAATACCTAATGAGAAAATTGCCATTTGGCTGAAGGACTGCAGGTAAAACTGGAGATGCATTGTATCATTTGCAGCTGTGCATTCTAGTGTATCTTGTTTCAACATTCTGCAGAAGAAGTGATGTGCAATTGAAATACTGCCATCGTTATGGTTTTTAAAATAATGCAGTATTATATATCAACAGTAATATCCCTAAATTGGTTTTAATGTCTCTTTTATTACATTATCGGTTATATTCACATTTAAAATGATTCCTTTTTTTCCACTTTAATACTGTATGAAAGCTTTAATATCAATTAATGGTGATTTTTAGAATTCAGTCATTTTAATTTTGGTCCAGGCACTTAATTATTTCTTCTTGAGTGTTATTTTTCAGTGCTTTATGGATTGTGAATTATATTGTGAATTTATATCACAGTTATATTGTGATTGTGAATTTTTGTATCTTTACTTGGATATTTTGCAGAGCTGCTTAAATGTTAATTATTGGATTTTAGTATTGCTGTAGCATAGCGACTAGCCACCAACATGACCAGCATACTGTTTCTAATGTAAAGAGAGAATTTGTTTTTTTAAGCTAGATCAGGAAGTTTGTTTTCCATAATCCATTAGACAATGTGTAATTTCTATCAAAGTACCATTACATGGTAAAAGAATAAAAAAGTAAATGGTGGTGCTTAGTTTTATTTTATTTGAAACAATCTCAACCTGAAAAGCAATAATGTACAACAACTTCCAATGTATTTTATTTAACAAATCTTTTGTTATCGTCTCCTTCCTTCTTTTTCTTCTTTCACTCTTGATCTTCCCTGAAAGTAGACGGGGAAGTTTTTCTTTGGAACCTTTCAACAGTTGAGAAATAGCGTTTATATAATATAGCCTTTACTGTTTTGGGGTGGCTTCCGAAATGATGAAACTACTGAAAATTCTTTACCAGCATTTTGGTTGGTATTTAACGGACATACTGGACCAAAAATAAGATGCATATTTAAACATATGAAGTTCTCTTTCATTCTTCTGTGCTGTCGGGTTTAACTTGTTAGCCTTCACCTTTTTGAGAATATACTGTTTGATCAAGAAACCTAATCATTTTGAATCCAATCTTGGAGCAGCAAATCTGTGTAAAGCAGTCATACTAGGAATACAATCAGCAATGGATGTATTTCAGTGTTAACCCCTCATCAGAAGGTGATAATATAAGCCGATAAAATATTACTTTCTTCACTGTGTTGTCTTGTCAAGAATTCCATGTTTTATCATGTTGACTTCACATCAACAAGTACGTTGCATTTTGTTAAAAAAATCTTCATTTTGTATCTTGTGCTAACAAATTATGTGCAGTAAAACTGATTGCTAGCCTCTAATGGAGGAATCTGGGGATTAAAAAATTGCAACTTCAAATTCTTGGGGTGTTAAAAAAGTCTGTGTTTATGTACCAATCTCTTCCTTTAACCCATTTTAAAAAAGCATGAAAAGTCTTACAGAGGCTGCTAAAATTAACTGGAATTAAATGAAGACATAAAGATGTAGCTGAAAGGGAGTGTTTTTTTTGGGGGGGTTGAATATGTGGGCATGGTCAGTCACCTGATTGGAAACTATTCTAGAATTCCAACAGGTGCATGTAGGCTATCAATTCACATGGGTTGGACAGGTCAAATTAAAAGACTGCTGTTTTTTTTTGCACTTTTTTTTTGTCACACGTTTTTGTCACTAGTTGGACTTTTAGTTTTCTAAACTAAAGTTTGTTGATAGTTTAAAAATGTTTGTTGATAAGGCTACATTGAACATTAGGTATGGTATAAACCCACAAAAAAAATAGATTTAAAGGATGAAGAGGTCTGAAGTTTTCCTTTTATGACTGCAGGACACCCCTGGGGGCCTCTCTAGATGAACAGAACAATGTGCCATTGAAGGGTGAGTTGCAGAGTGCAATACATTCTGCTAGAATGAGCATTATGTCCCATAAAAATGGTTGTTGGTACAAACTACAATTCCAAGTGGCCTTACCCAATAATGCCGTGTTCGACTTTTGGTTTTTTTTGGTGTTTAACTTTTGTAGTGCCTTCAAACCTGCACTGGGCTTTTTGGTCCAACAAGAAACAAGCATATAAGTATGTCTGTAGGTGTGCTAGGTAGGATTAAGGTCAACTGTTCCCACAACAGACATTTGATGAATGCTACTTTACCACACCTTAAAGTCAGCTGAACTTTGGATTCCTGACTTATGTACAGCGCAGTGAACTTAGAATGTGGTTGAAGTCGACCGGAGACGGAGCTTGTGCAAATGATCAGCTTAGTAATGTTTTATTTATTCATTTCTAGTTTAACAAATGAGTCAGATACTATGAAGGCATTTTGATCTGTCATACAAAACCATGACCTAGTGCAAGGGGAACGGATTTTGTTTGTTTAATCTGAAGCTACATGGGTTGTCATCAGGCCAGTGATTACACAGGTAAGATTTGCAGAGTGAGCCTTTGTGAAATTTATAGTTAAAAGAATAGTTAGCAAATGAACTTGACCTTTGACAGTGAAGTTTAAAGTTTTGCTTAGTAGAATGCAGGCTTAAGCGAGCACTGGTAAGGATTACTTTTTATGAATTGTTCATAATTGGTTTGGTGAGCTCTTTGAATTGAAACACAAAATAAATTCAACTAATTTGAAGAAAACCTCCAGTTAAAATATTTAAGTTTTTGACATATGGGGAGGTTCGTTTTGTGTTTTTAGATAAAGTTTCTGTTTGTTGCATTTTTTTTACAGGAGTAATAAAAAATGGATGTAGCTTTGAAGATGACCTTTCACTGGGAGCAGAAGGTGAGTGGTGTGTTTTAACTATAAAAGTGGGTTGATTATTGAAAATAAGAATATTTTGACAGATCCCTTACTATATCAGAGAACAATCTTTTGGATAATTGAACTATTTTATACTTGTCTTCTGAGAGCTACAAACATATCCAGTAATTTTATGTTTCTGCAAAGATTATTTTCTGTGTTCTATATTTGGGAACAGCCTCTGTTGCAACAAGTTAGTCCATGATTCAAAGGAAAAAATGTAAGATTAGATACTATATCTCTCCTTTCACCTTCATATTCGTGTTCTGATGTCCTATAAGGGTAAAAGGTACTGTAGTAAATAATTAAAAACTGTATGTGCTTCAAAATGGCTGCACTGTTTCCATGTATCAGATGATAGAACTTCAGAAGTGGATAAACTCATTCCCTTTTATGTATCTATAAAGACATTTATGATCTTTGTTTGCATATGCAAAGGAAATCCCCATTTGGATTTTATTTGGAACATGTTTGTGAAGACAATAGCGCTATACTTATGGTTAAAATAACTGCTTTGGATCTTTCAGGTGGTTAAAATGTACAAAGGGGGGAATTCTCAAACTAAGATCCAAAATGGTTCTTTTTTCCAGAATCGAGAACTATAACATTTATTATTTTTTTGCTTGGATATCACATTTGACATTGCTTAGAAACCGATACTCAATATACATTCAATGTTTTTTTTTCTTACTGAGTGTTTTTATAATAATATAAAATGACTTCTCTGTTGAAATTTAGGTTAAACATGCAATGAATGCAAATACTGTACGTTTTATCTTTTAATCTTTTTTACAGTTTTGTGTATTTGATTATTTTAAACAATTTAAATTTTAAATGATTAATTTAAACTGTCTCTACCAGCAATAATTTTGCTTTGTGCTAGTTCTTGCCTTAGTCAGTATGTTACTGTCTTGGATTGTTTGTTGTAACAGTCTTTATGAACAGAATACTAATCTCTGGTTGTCTGATACCTATTCATTACTCGGCCTCCTGCTGAATGTTTTCAAGCTGACCTGTTTTATGCAAACAGAAGCATGTTGAGACTAGTTCAGCCCTCCTTTTGTGTTGATGTCAGCACAGTAACTGATTATTTGAATATTCTACAGAAATGTATTAACATGCTTATACAAGTTCACGGCTATCTTTTTAAAAAAGTTATAAACATTGATTTCAGGATGTCAGGATAGCACAGTGGCGCAGTAGTATACATTGCTGCCTCACAACGCGGGGGTCTTAGGTTCAATCCCCGACCTGGGGTGTTACATACATGAAGTTAGTATGTTGCCCCAGTATTTGCATGGGTTTCCTCTGGGTGCTCTGGTTTCCTCCCACAGTCTAAAAACATACTCTTAGGTTAATTGGTTTCTGGGAAAAGTGGCCCTAGGTTTTTAATGTGTTTCTGTCTGGGAGTGCCCTGTGATGAACTTGCATTCTGTCCAGGTGTCCAGCTTGCTGGCTACTCTGCAGCCCTGAAATGGATCAAGTGGTTAGAAAATGTATGGATTGAAATATTTTTTTCATAAAACCTACAGTTTCTGCTGCATTATTGTAATGTTGTTGGGGTTTTTTTGCAAATCAGACACATATCACACATATAAATAGTTTCCACTCTGTAGTTTTTAATTCTTACAGAGACCACTCAGAGATATACAGTATGACAAGACATTTGAGGGTGATTGTTTAGTGGTCTTTGCTGCACAATGTAATTCTAAATTTTGCCTTCCATGTATTGTGTTTAGGTTATGAAGGTCCCCATGTTTTTTACCATTTTATTTTCTCAATTATCCCTCTGAAAAGGGATTATTCTTTCAGCAGAAAGAGTAACTATTAATCATATACAGTATAGGAAATATTAAATACAAGCAATATAAAAGGAATAAAGTACAAAAATATGTATCTTTTAGATGAGCCCTTTTGGTGAGTGCCTGCATTGTTTCATTTTTTAAAAAGTTACAGTTTTATAGGGTAAGTTTTAGTGAATACCAAAGATCTGCTCAATGTTTTGAAGATGACGGTTCACATTCTTTGATGAGAACAATTTTGAAATCTTAGCAGAATTAAAAGCACTAGTATAGCACTGTGGATATTTTAATTTAGTAGTTGTCTGGCAGATTTGTGACTTAGTATTTAATATGTTTAAAATCTGTTACTGAATAAAGTTTTATAAAACAAAATATTTTAAACCAGATTTAATCATGTTTGCCTTATGTTGAATAGCTCTAATGGTGGTGATGATCGTATATTTACATTATAACGTTATCATTTTTAAAAATATTTTAGTTTCCATGTTTTCAGGTATATTTTCTGCAATCACTTAAATGTGTGATTGCAGAAATCACTTAAACATTAAGACTTGTAACCAGGATGAAGGTTTATAATTGTCATTTTTTGAAACTTGCATTTCTATTTATCAAGATTAATGCTGTTATCCTTTTCCGCTAGTCACTGGTCTTGAGTCAGCAGTCCATTAACATTAATGCTGCCAGAGTCTATTGTGTAGTAAAACAAGATGTATTTCCGGTGAATTAAGTTGGTTTTATCTTTTAAAAATGCAAGAACACCTTTCATGTATATCTGCTTTTTGGTACTTAAGACTATATATACGGTAAATACATGATGCAAAATCAGTGATATTCACATGTAACATTAAGCAAGCGCAAGTGTGTCAAACAGTTTCATACATTTAAGATTCTGCTAATAACTGTATTAAGGTAGGGATTAGATGACTATGAACAGTTATAGTTAGGCTTGCTGAGGTAACATGACATTATTTAGCTAACTCTTGTCATCAGAAATGTCAGGTACACATAAGATTTCATGCAAGTTCTTTCTTTCTAAATGTCCTGTTATTTTTTTTTCTCAATAGCCAATCATCTTCATCCCAGCAGTAGTAAAGGAGAGACACCATGGTAAGGAATATGCTTTTCTTAATTGCAGTCCACCGCAGTTCTCATTCACATATGCATATCTTCATACTGTGATGTTGTTGTTAATATTTTGACTTTCTACTGTAGCTTTGGAATGCTGGCCAAAGACAAAAGGACTCAATTTCATCAGAAAGGCAGAAGTATGAACTCCACTGGCTCTGGGAAAAGTAGTACCACATATTCCAGGTAAGACGTTTGGTAGAGACTTGGAGATGCAATGAAGGCATTTTTTCCCCAATATTAGTGATGTCCCGAAAACAAAATGTATTAAAACAAGGAAATGTATTACTGATGGGGGTAAAAAAGATAAAGTATGTCTGTAGATTTCTGGACACATGCTGAGCTCACTGTTGTGTCTAAATGCCCCCCCCCCCCCCCCCCCAAGTGTTTCAGAATTATTGGACCTTTATGAAGAGGATCCAGAGGAAATCCTTTATAACCTGGGGTTTGGGACTGATGAGCCAGACATCGCTTCAAAAATCCCATCCAGGTTCTTTAACTCCACCTCTTCTGCGAAAGGCATAGACATCAAAGTGTATTTGGGAGCTCAACTTCAACGGATGGAGTTGGAGAATCCAAACTATGCCTTGACAAGTAAGTTTTCTTGTATTTCTTAGCCTGAGAAATCATATTTAATAGGACATCTCCACTAATGTGTTATGCAGAAACAAGAATGCAACAGCAGAAACAATCCAAACAAGCAAATGGTTGGCTATGTGATAGTTTTTGTATGTTGTGAGTATAGATGTTATTGTGGAAGCATTAGGATTATGCCAATTCACAATCACAGCTAGCTGCTTTAGCTTTTAGCTACTTCTCTATGCTGTGCTTTGGATGACTTGAAACCCTAATGGTTGAAGTTTTGTGTTTTTGTTTTGCTTCCGACCTGCAAATTAAGTTTCTCATTCCCAAGCACAGGGAGTTCTGTGTCCTCTGAAAATTAACTAGAATACTACTTCTCGGAATAAATACATTCACACAAGGATGTCTTTGTTTTCCTTGTGGTGCTGTTGTGAACTTATTTTTGCAATCTACTCACATCGGACCCATTTGCTTGCCAGTTCAACAGACGTGTTTCTTTTATTTCTTGTCTATTTGCATAACAGTTGCGTTTTTGTTAGTGCAAAATAGATGTGAAAAGTGCTAGCAACATTTTTTACGGTAAAGAGAGAGAATGAAATGCAGCTTTATGAGTAAAGTTTTTTTTTTTAGTTGTGCAGTTTAGCCATCCATAAGTGATTTCTTTCTATGCAGTGTTGTAAACAGTCATTATTTGCTCTCTCTCCCAATATCAATTCACAGTGGTCCACTCTAACCACAGTTTCAGTTTCAACCTGTTGTGACTAAAATCTGTAACTATTCTTGGTGGTTTAGAAGTTCTATTCAAATATCGGTCTTAAGATGCTGATGATTAAAGCACTAAAATCAATCTGCTTTTACTTTTTAGCCTGTATCTGGTAGAGAACTTAAATGGTTAATAGTATATGAGGTAATACAACCATTCAAACTAGAATGGGGGGGGGCAATATGGGATTTTAACAATTTTGAATTATGCATCTTGACAATAAATAGGATATGTGAAACGATCGCTGGGTGAAGCAAGGAAAACTTCCCTGTTTTAGCCATTGTACTTGAGGTCGTTCATGTTAGCAGTGTTCACATAGTTGCAGGATTTTAAAGTTGCTCATATCTGAATGGATTGTTCTACTAGCTCATACGGAAGAAAGAAAACAGTGGAAGTTTTTATGTGGTTTTATTTTTGCTTATTCTTCCAATATGTGCTTTTTGCCTTTCTTGCAGAGGAGTTGTCTGGTAGGCTAAACTTTTTTTTGGTGGGACTGGCTTTTTCATGGTTACTGTAATAATAAAATTGTCACAGTTTCAACAAAGGGAGGGGAAGAGAGAAAGAGGAGATCCCTTCTGGGGTCACATCTCCACCCTTGTGGTGTTCCTCTGTTAAATATTAAGGACTTCTCATTTGTCATTGTCTAGGTATTCTTTTAGTAGCTGCTATTTCTTCTTTATTAATTCAAGACCATAGTCCCTCCATGACGCATGGTTTTTGATACGTATGTGACTGATCTGTATATGTTGTTCTGAATTGTAGGTGGGTTAAATAATCCCAGGATATCCCCTGCCAACAGTTACATTCAATGTGAACTTATCTGATGTTTTGGCTGTGGTTATGTTAGTTATGTCCTCTTTGCTTATTAAGAAACACATGTCCATTAAGGCATGCTCTATTTGTAGGGATCTTAATACTTCTGCTTTATTCTTATTATTGTATTTTTTTTTATTAAAAATGAAGATCCCACTCTTTGTGTAAGCTATTTTCCTTACCAGTTTACTCAGGTATCAACCAATATGCTAAGGTGCTTTCACATTGACTTGTAATTTATATAAACAAATCAATACACCACAATCAGATGAGTTTATTTAAGGGCTCCAGTAACATTTGCCATCTTTTCCACATCATACATGCAAATGCAGACACTGACACTGTACTGCTTTGTCATTAGATGCCGAGATAGCTTTTGATCTGTTTGAGTAGGAATATCTTGGATTTTGTTCTGTATTATAGTGTTTTGGGACCAGGATGGATCAATATGCCGACACTTGCCTGACAATAAAATGACTGAAGTGTTTTTCCCCAGTTTCCCTTTATTTAGGGAAATTAATCCTTCATCCCTGTGTCATCTGTTGGTTTTGATTGTTGTAGTGCTCTAACAATTATTCAAAGTCTGTGTTAATACCATTAAACTTTGCTGCATAGAGATCCAGCTGTGCCACTAGTAAAGCACTTTGGATATATTGGAGTTCAGATTTATTCCTCTTTTTACGTTTTATCACAGTAAATAACTTTAACAACACAATTATATAGGTAGTTCTCTTCAGGCTTGCATCCCCTTAATGAATGTGCTTACTCACCCATTTTTTAGTTTCATGACTCTTCTCTCTCCCCCTTTAGGTAGTTAGGATAGATTACTTCCTAGAATTTCCAAATTCGTAAGAAAAGAATAGTGACTATCTTAAATATATTAATAAATTAAATGATCCATTGTGCTGTATGTAAGGTTGGAGAGAAGTCTGGATTTTCCTTTTAATTATATTTCTCAGCCCTTGTTCTCTGTTGATTGTTTGGTTCTTCCTTGGATTCAATTCATAAGGTACTATCAGTGTGGAGTTTCTGTGTCCTCCCCATAGTTTTTGTGAGTTTTCAGTGGATTTTGTGGTTTCGTCCCACACTCCAGAGACATACTGTATTGGTAGGTTAATTGGTGTTTGGGGAAAAATTTGGCCCTGACGTGTGTGTGTGTCTGTATATACCCTGCCCTGGACTGTCATCCATTGCTTGCTAGGTTAAGCTCTGGCATCCCCTGTGACCGTATACTGGATAAAGCAGTTAGAAAATGGATAGATTCATGTATCTACTGCTGCTTTTTAATTTGGAGTCATGTGAAATTTGTTTAAATCCATTAGCGTGAATGGTTGTGCTACATGCAAAGACCTGCTTTTTAAAAAATTGACGGTGATATGCTCAACAAATGATTGCTTATATTCACTGAAACTGACTCTTGCTTTTCATCTGTAGGTCGCTTTCGTCAGATTGAGGTGCTCACTACTGTCGCCAACGCCTTTTCTTCACTTTATTCACAAGTGTCAGGACAGCCGGTTCAGGAGATTGGGACAACAGAAAGTGAAACCAGAGAGACGCCTCTTTTAAAAAGAAGAAGCTCAGCCTTGAATGCTGCTAAAATATTAAAAAAGAACATCAGCAAACATAATTTGCATGGATCTCCTGATAGTAATTCCTCACCTTTGCCTCTAGCCACAGATAAAGAAAACCCTGCAGTTTCAACCACAGAGGATCAGTCAGGAGATCCTGAACAGAAGAATGAACAAAAGTTACAAAAACTGTTTAGGAAAAAAGATTCTCCTTCCTTAGCTACAGTAACAGAAGAGGGACTCAGTTGTCTTTTGGACTCCTCATCAAATGGAAATACAGTACTAAATGGTGACTCGCCAATTGAGGTTAATGGAAATGGTGTTTCTGAAGAATCTGGGTTCATCGAACCTTCTGTTTTGAGAAAACATTTGTCTATGTCTGCCAGTGGTGATCTGGAGAGCAGTGATGAGCAGAAAGAAACCGTAACTTCTACTCCAGATAAGGAGCCTTCAGCATATCTGCAAAATCCCCGTTTTGCTCATTTATTGTTACCTCAAAAGGATTCATTTGAAATGGAAGAGGTAAGATAATGCTCATTTATTTAGCTTTTAGTGGTTAATGCATTCCGGATGGTAGGGTAATTATGTCGAGTATACTTAAGTGCAATGTTTTCCTTTTTGATTTTTTGTCCTATTTAGTATCCAGTGAAAAGGTCTGTTACTCTGTTGTAATTTTTGATGTGCTAAAAATAGGTAAGGATTAGTGGAGATAATGTTACATAAAATTTTTGAATAGTGCTCCCAAATGAATAGATTTCCTAAGTCTTTTGGGTATATTCTGTAAGAGGTTGTGCCTGTTGTCTTTTTCATCTTTTAAATACAAACAAAAATAGCTACAAAAGGCAAGGCAATAAAAGACTCATCTAACCACTTAGGACTTGGGTCTTTTAACGTTTGTCACACACTGGATTGAGAAAAGGAAAATGCATGTTTTGTTTGGATTATTTCAAGCATCACAGTAGTCAGACAATGCAGATTTTAATATGTATATATTAATCTTGATGCTGGCATCTGTTCTTTAATATGGGAAATTCTGTTCTATCAACAACTTTTTGCATATATTCAAGGCAGCATGTGTGTAAGAGCCATATTGGGTCAGAACGTTACTCAGGTCAAAGTTAATTTGGAAAAAGTAAGGCAATTATTAAGTTCTGCTAAAAAAATGAGAACATTAAGAGTAATATATTAATTTGCAGGGATTTTTACGTGACACATTATTTCCAATTCTATTTAGTTTATTAATACTGTAATTTATCTTAATCTTGATTTATTATAATCATTAAAGGCCTTCTGCCCACTTAAAAAACCTTAAAATATTATTGTATTCAGTATCTCGTGAAACGTAATTTTCTATTCTTGTATTTTCTTTCCTGTATCGCATTCTGAAACTCCGTTTTGGTTGATACAGATATGCAGAAAGCTAGAGAATCAGGCATGTTTGCAGCACTGTACTTTTTACGTAATCAATTCCTGTGTCCAGCTGTTACTCTAATACAAGTGATCTACTGCTTATACAAATACCGATACCCTTAAACTAACAGTTTATAGTATCAAATTATATAATATTGGTTATAATATTGGTTATGACAGTTATAATAATATTGACTTGTTATTGTTTGACGTCTGTTCTTTACTTCACTAGATCATCTATTTTTAATTATACAACATTTTTTTTGCAGTAGATAAAAGCAAAACAGATCCAAGGTCCTATGTTTGACTCTGGCCTTTAGGGGTCTGTCTGTGAGCAGTCATATGGTATCACTTCTGCCTTGTGCCCTATGCTTTTGGGTTAGACTATAGATTGTTGTGATCTTCACAAGGAAGTGACTTTCTGATAATGGATGAATGGAATATTATTAAAAGAAGAACTCTCCCAATGTGCTGCAGATGTAAACTTCATAGAGATGTATTTATTTCAAAGAAAACACCAGAGTTGGAGGAGGAATGGAGGTTGTTTGTAATTCTGAAAAAATTACAATTCCTTTTAAGGATCTCTACAGCCTGAGAATAGACATTAATTATTGTGGGTTAATCAAGCTTTATAACTTTATTATGCAGATGGAAACTACTAAAACTGTTTTAGTTTAACTGCCGTGCAAATCGATCATCCTTTGTTAAATCTTTGTGTTCAACTTTCAGTTTTTTCCTCTGCTTCTCTTTTCAAACCAATCTTTACTTCTCAACCATTGTCCTAGTGCAGTGGTTCTCAAACTTTTTGGACCAAGTGAAACCCCTGATCAAACCAAAGCATCCAAGTACCACCTACAAGTCATCTTCTCATAGGAACCACAGAAAATCTCAATGACCGACATAAGCGGAGTGCGTGCACACACACATATAATACAAATAGCACTGAGCACTTACCATTCAGTGAGAGGGGTGAGCCTGTTTAGTCGAGCAAAAACTTGCAATGTCAGGGACGAGGGCAGTGAGCTTCAAACGCAGATCTGGCTCATCATCCATTTTGTTGCAACACTTTTTGTCTTGATTGCAGTGAGAGCAGAGAAGCCTTTCTCATAAAGTTAGGTAGTAGCAAAAGACATCAAAACTGCACAACCTTTAATGAGAGGGCTGGGTATTCACTCTGTCTTTGGATCCAGAAATCCATCAGTGACTGTTGTTTCAATTCTGACATCAAAGTCACATCAGATGATAACTCAAGCAACTTCTCTTGTTCAGCACAGGTCAGATCCTTGGATATTCCTTTGACATGAACAGTAAAGGAGTTCCCGATCCACTCTGGTGTGGCTTCAACTGGAAAATACCCCAAGAACTGTTCTCTCAATGACAAGAGGTGCACTGCAATAACATCAAAAGCAGCAGCATCAAGTGCCCCACCACATGTGTGCAGATAGTTCTCCAAAGTTGGGAAAGCAGAGACATCACTTGCGTTTATTTTATTACCAAAAAGCTGTAGCCTTTTCTTCATAGCAGTGATCTTGTCAGACATAAAAAATACTTAAAGAGAGCCCCCGCAGTCTCATATTCAGCCCATTCACACATGAGATTATATCAGCCAGGTAGGCTAATTTTACCAGCCACATTACAAAGCACACTGAACAGGCATGAATTCATTGGTCGAGCCTTGATACAATTCACAACTTTGGCAGCAGAGTTTAACACAGATTTTAAATCCTCAGGCATTTTCTTGACTGCCAAGGCCTCGCGTTGGATGCTGCAGTGCGTCCACAGTGACCTCTCTAATTTGTGCAACTACATCGTTGTGTCGGCTTGTCATCGCTCTAGCACCATCTGTACAAACTCCAACGCGTTTTTTCCAGTCTATGCCCTTCTCTTTCATAAATTCATTCAGAAGCTAAAATATGTGCTCTCCTGTATTTCTTGTTGGCTTACACAACAGAAAGTCCTCATGAGACATGCCCTCTGATTCATAGCTAATGTAAACGAGCAAATTGACCAAATCAACGACATCTTACAGACTCATCTAATTGCAGTGAAAAGGATCTGCTTATCTTAACACGCTCTATCAGCGTACTTTTGACATCATCTGCCATATCACTAATTCTATGAGTGACTGTGTCATTCGAAGGGGGCAGCAGGTCAAGCGGTTTAGCAGCCTTTTCTCCACACATAATACATGTCAGCTCTTTTGCCAACGGTAAACAAAGTTCTTCATCAATAGTGTGGGGCTTACCTGCTTTAGCAATCCGCAAGCTTGCATTTTTCCCCATTTCAAGTTAAAAGAAGTTTTTAAGCTCGATTTATTTTTCTCCAGCTAACCTAGAATAGTCCTTAAATATTTTTCTGTTATGTATCATGCTTTCCTGTGCCTACAAGATTGGCAGTATTCCAAAATCTCACACATTCTCATACCTCTGTATTTGCTGGAGATAACTTTGTTAAAATACAGTACAATTGGCCACTTACGTTCGCAGCCCGCATTCCTATAAAATGGTATAGAATTACATAGTACTCTTCTGTCTACTCAAGTATTAGCTC